CACACGAGGGGGCACGCAGGGCCTCGTACGCGATGGGTGGAGGGGACCCAGCCCCCACAGCTGCTCCCCGGGCGGCGTGTCCCTGCGGCCCCGCTCCCGAGCTCGGCCTGCTGCTGCTGCTGCTACCCGGTCCTCGCGCCTGCGCCGCCGCCGCCTCGCCTCCCAGCCCGCTCCCCCGCTCCCGCTCCGGGGGGCCCGCCGCCGCCCGGTTCCCCCGGCCTCTCACCTTCACCTTCTCTCCCGCACAGCAGCCATGACACCCCAGCATCGTCATCGGAACGCGCCGGGCTGGGTGCGTCACGCCACCAACGCGACTGGCGGGAACGCCTCCAGCCTGCTTCGACCAGTCCCTTGTCCCCCAATGCATTATGGGAGGGGTGGTCCAGGCACGCCCCTTTCCCAATGCCTCATGGGAGCTGTAGTTTGAGGCAATCGCTTTAACCCAATGCCTCATGGGAGTTGTAGTCCTCAGAGATTTACCCTCCCCCCTCCTGCTCTTTACCTGGGCTGTGGTGGGAGCCGCAGCAGCAGCAGCAGGGTGCTGGGAGGAGATTCCTTTCTGCAGCCCCAGGGGCACTGTGCCCGCTGTTCTGGGTGAAATCCAGCCCAGGGTCACCCACCCATGCCAAGGGCGCTGCCAGCTGAGCTCCGCTCCCTCAAACTGCAGCTGTAGTGGCCGGAGGTGCAGCAGACCCAGCCCAGGTGGTGGTGGGCAGGCTCAAGTAGGACTAATGCCCCCACCTGGAGGCCTAGCTGAGCCCTCAGCTGCAGTCCTGAGAGTGGAAAGAAGAACCTGAATTGAGCCCCCCAAAGAAGAAATACTGGCTGAAATATGTAGCGAAAAAGGCCTTCTGGGTAGGGTTGCCAACTTTCTAATGGCACAAAACTGAACACCCTAACGCCGCCCCTGCCTTAAACAAAATGTCTGAGCCTCCACTAACCTAGGCTGGACTCAAACCAGTAACCTAATTGTTGAAAGCCTCCATAGCCCAAAGCTAATCCCCCCCAGTCTTTGGGAAGGGGTCATAATAACCCTCTTACACCAGCACTCTCTTAGGTAGTTATATTGAGAGATCAATATAATATTGTTTCCTTCTGGATTCTTTTAAAGACCTTTGCGCTTCAAAAGAGTAACATTAGGGGGCCATTCTTGAACTATTTAACTGAGATCCTCTGCCACAAGAAAAGCATAGGGCACACAGTCAAAATACAGTAAACAAATGGAACGTCTGGAAATACTTCATTGTGACAAATGTGTACCACAAAAATTTGACTCTTAACCCAAGCCCTGGACAGGACTGTTACTAATTAGGTATTTTTTCTTCTTTACAACATGAAAATAATTTATGAGGGTCACCATTTTCCAGAACAATATTCTAATATTTTTTAAACGTATCTGTTTTGGTAAGAATTACAGCTCCCCAGCATTGTAGCACATGAACATCTCATGAGCATGAATGCGTTTATTACAAACGCCCACATGAGGGGAGAATAATTATTGTACCTTACTTCCCCCATCTGTAAAACAGCAAAGAGATTAGTCCTGGGATTTATCAAAGGTCCCATAGCAGAGCCCGGACTTGAACCCAGACTATCTGTCCTGATCTTTAACTACAAGACCACTCATCTCCTCCTCATCAGGATGAAGGACAAATGATCATGTAAAGACCCATGCTTAACCATAGTAGGGAGTGACATCGTTTTTCAGCATCTGCTTTACCAGTTACTGTAGATAACTTGGTGGATCCCCAGTATATCAGGGCTATGTGTTCTGTCGTTAATGATATGAAGTCTGCCTCTCCCATACAATTTAAATATACATATTAAAGAATCAAATTATTGCACACATCATTTTGTTAAGTTTTAATGTAAAACTTGCTGTTTAAAACTGTACATCATCTGTGAAATACTATGAGACCTCTATATTGATTCCAGTCAATTCCTGGGGCAGAAGAAAAAACATCAAATAAATGGGTAAATCTGTTGAATAAATACATACAACTCTTCAACATCTTACTAATGACTGGCCTGCACCGGCCATTCGTTTGGTGCAATTAACTTGATTCAGATTTTCATTAAAAACAGAAGCAAGTTTTGCGTTTTTTAGGTGATTGTTGGTGCACGGATTTCTCTCTCTTCTCTGTAGGTGTGTTTGTGGACATGCATGCGCCTGGGCCCAGAAAGGAAAAGGTCAGTGTCCCCTTCTTCTGTCCTATATTTGCTAATTAAAGTCAAAACACACATCTATCTACCCCAGTCGTGGAGCAATTCCTTCCATCTGACTGTAACTGCCTGGTATCAGAGGCAGTAGGCTCCACTACCTGGCAGTTATAAACAGATGGCAGAGTCACTCTAGAAACCCACAAAGAATTTGGTTTTAGAAGGTGGCTGTTCAAAATAACTTTTGCTGAAAATTTAGAGCTCAAGCAATATTCTAGTTTGGCAGACCTGAGGACTAAAGACTTCTATTTAATAATCAGAACAGATACAGCATGGGTGATGGCAGTACATGTTTCCCCTACACTGCCCAAGAAACATGCCTCAACCAAGATTCTTTTCTACATAGATTCTTATAATGGGCTCATCCCAGTAGAATCTTAGTCCCTTCCAGCAGTGCAATAAGCAACATGACTAACATCCAGTTCTCCACAGCCTCCCCTTTCTAAGAAGTCCCTTTTACACACACACACACTCTCTCTCTCTCTCGGTGGACACATTCCCTTCCAGCTGCAGCAAGATACGGTTGGGATGACATCTTTTACCTCTTCAATCTAATCACAGAAGTCAAGTATCATCAACCAACTATGGTTTGGCTAATAGGATCCATGGGGGTTATCATCATTGCTGTTTTTAACAAGGTGATGTGCTTCCAAGTAACTTCAAAGAGGTATGGCTAAGATGAACCTTAGGCTGGGGAAACTAAGTTTCATCGAATGCTACAGCTGTTAAGACTCCACTCCCTGATCCTGGAACCAGCTCCCTGATCCCACTCATGTTTGGAGCAGTGTCCAGAAAGGATTCCCTAAAGTCCATTTCTCTGTAAGATGCACATAGAAACAGTCTTGCTGCTGCTTGGAGAAGGGGCTTGTGGGGAGGGGAAAGAAATGTCCTGCCCCCAAAGAGCTGGATTTTCAGTCCAAGAAAGTTGTCCGGTAAGCCATCGCAGATAGTGAAGAAGTAAAGTCCAAGCACAGATGAGGATGAGTATCGGAATTGAAGGCACAAAGAATCTCTCCAAATTCTAGAACTACACTCCGACTTATTATCTGCAGTGTTAGTGGAGGCGATCTTCCAACAGTGAAGTCAAACCATCACTAAAAAAAATCAATATCCAAATAACTTTGATGGATGCCTTGGAGACTCAGCAGCGTTCCCTACTCCCACTCACAGTCAGCAGTGGGTGATGCTGGGAAAAAGGTCCTTCTCGTGAAGCATGGCTCTAAGGGTCGAGAAAGGACACTGCGATGTAACGGGTCCCTTTTGTGGTTGGAAGGCCCTCATGATAATGGGTCAGGCGACCCGGGTGCAGGAGGGTCCAACCCTTCCGAGGAGCTCGAACGGAGCAGTTGTAACGCAGAAACCGGCAGCCTCCTCCCTGCGTGAAACAAAAAGAAACAGGCATCAGCCAAGTACCAGCAGAGAAAGGATCCCTGTATTATCCCAACAGTCTCCTGATTTTCTGGACTCCCTTGTGATTGGTTGCTGGAATGTTCTACCACCGATCTCCCTCATTAGAAAATCCTGAAATTCAAACCCAGTCACTGATTGCAGTCCCCTTTGGCATTAAGGTGCCCAAGATGGAGCTGGGGATGAGCTGGGAGGTGTTCTGGGTACAGCAAAGAGGAGAAGACCCTAGACTGGTCTGGGAGACTTCCAGACTGACCTTCTTGCAAGCACTTACCTCGTAATCTATCCCTACCCGGTTCAGGGCAATGTTGATGGTGAAGGTGGACGCATCATGGTGAGGCATTAAGGAGGGTTGCTCATCAGGTTTGTAACGAACGACAAAGGCCAGCTCAAACTGTGTCTGCAGGAGAGAAGAGAGGCATACACAGACAGTGCCACAGCACCCAGGGGGCATTCACTTCTAGGGGATGGTGTGTACATTGGTGTAATAGGAGTAACATACCCCTTAAATAAGGGAGAAAGGGGCATGTTCTTATGAAGAAGGATGGTGCACACCTTGATAACATACTCCAGGGTCATTTCCTCCATTATGGCACATACTTTGGTACAGTGCCCCAATGATATTGCCTCTCCGTGGCCATAATCATGAAAGACGCGGAGCACTCAAATCCCATTGACCAAAAGTGTTTGATGCCTACCTTTGTATAGTATCCTGGGTAAAATTTCTCTGTGATTGGAGCAATATAGTGCAGAAGGAACCTGTACCATTCTCTCTCATAGCCAATTTGGTTCATGTGGATGTCAATAGTTGGGACATTTTCATAGCCCCCTAGTAGCCTGCTGTCCTGGAATAGAACCATAAGATTGATTGGGGACAAATATCTTAGATGATAAGTAGGAAAAACAGTTTGACGGTAACCAACAAACATAATGCTCATCTATAGGGCTTTTCAGGATTGTAACGCAGAGAAGGATCATCTACATTTTATAGAAGGGAAGTCAAGGCACAGAGAAGGTTGGAGCCCAAGTTTTCAAAAGCGGTCTACTGACTCTGGATGATCGTAGTTGTCCAACTTTACAACCCCTTGGCTCTAATCTTCAGAGGTACTGAGCACTCCAATGCTCCAGTGGACGGCAGTGGAGGTTGCAGGTACTCAGGGCCTGCGAAAATGAGGCCTAGGGGGTCGCAGACTGATTTTCTGAGTGCCCAGCGACCACTTTTGAACATTTGGGCCTAAGTCCAAGATCACACAGTGAGTCAAGAGCAAAGCTCAGGGGTCCTGACTCCAGTGCCCTGCTTTAACCACAGGATTAAAACTCCCGCTTGTAGCAGGCTGCAGCCATGCCCAAGGACTCTGTGTAAGTGGTGGGAGCTGTCGCTTTGGAAACTCCAACTTTTTCTTACCGTGTTATCTCCCTTGGACCACTGGCCAAAGTGCTCCATTTCCTCCACCAACTCGTCACAGGCGACGTCAGTGAATATAGGGAACCAGTAAACATCGGGGCAGGGCTGGAGAGACAGAACACACGAGAATTCAGACAAACAGAAGAATGAGACAAACACAGACAGACACGGGGGCTCTCCAGAAGCTACATCACACATGGGGTTGGGGGAGTTCCTTAATTTTGCAGGACAGCATCACGGGGCTGTTTGTTTCAGTTTTACAAGGGGGTGGTTGGGTCTTTTAAAAAAAAAAATTACCCAACAATGTGTTATGTAATTTATGAACAGTCCCTAGTCGGACCAGAGGAAGACAAAATCAAGAGGAGGGAGACAGGGCTCACTGGAAAAACAGCTAAAATGTTAAAGGTTGAATCCTGCCTTCAGATTCACATGCCTTGCTCCCAGTAAAATTAAGGAACCTGGACAGGTGCCTCTGAAGGAGGGATTTGTCCCAAAGAATACTTTCAAATAATGACAGATCACGTTCTCTCTGAATCTGAAGTTCTTTTAGGCAGCACTGTCTCCTGTAAGCTACCTATTTCTGAGGGTGAAAGGCCTCATCATATGATAGTGACATGCCGTTCTCTCCTCCGCTGAGAGACAGGAGCAGCGTTTCTTACCGTCTCCACCAATCTCCCTTTCAGAGCTAGTGTGTAGTTTTCATGGATGTACTTTTCTTTCCAGTCCTATGGTTAGAAAAAGACAAGCAAAGCAGTCACTTTTGTGGCACGTGGCTAAGGATGTGGTGCCCTGGCATCACCCTCTCTCTCTCGTCACGGAAAGGGGAAGTGGAGCAGTAAACAGCAATTCACAGCATTTTCTCGGCTTTGAAGCTCCAGGGCCCAGAGGAGTTTCTGAGTGAAATGCTTTCCCAAAGCCCTGCAGTTATGCACCTAGGGAACCCCATCAGAGGGATGTCATACAGCAAAGCTTGGACCCTCCCCTTAGAGACACGGCTAGTAGCAGCGTTATCTAACAGGGAAGCTAGGGGGCGTATCCCACAGTGACAAGCCTGCTCAGCCCCTCACCTCAGGATTGCTGAAGATCTCCCAGAGGTCGTTGTGGAGATGAGTTGTCTGATAATTCTCCAGAGAGAGTATGTGTCCAAATTGGTGCCGGTTTGTCACGAACATGAAGACCCTCTGTAGGATGGAGGGAAACCATCAGGCTGCAACTATCTACAGTGGGAGCTGCTTCCCAGTGGCCATGACTCCATTCCCTCTGTCCACCCACCTCCCTCTCTAATCTTCACACTGGGCATCCCCTCCCCAGTGAGCCTTTATTGTTAAACCCAGACCCACCCTGGCTGCAGAGAAGACTAAACAGTCCTAGAGAGGGCCAGTGATGGAGGCAGAACCTCTGCACGTTTCATCAGCTATAGACAGAAGCAGGATAAAATAGCTCAGAAAGGTTCACTCGGCCTGTGGCTATATGCATGTAGCCTCCGGAGCTGCACGAGTGGATCCTAGAGTATAACTGAATTTAGTCCGTGTTTCTCAGACCACAGGAAGAGGTTCCCCCGACTGCATGTGCCTCGGGAAAGGCATGTAGGCTTAGTTGACGCCAGTTCATTTCTTTCCACCTAGGTATGTACTGTTGTAATGGTGCCCGGAAACCTGCCTGCAGAGTTGATTCATCTCCACCCTTGCTCCCTGCAGCCAGCTCCCTCTACTGACCTGATCCCGGACATTATGGCAGAAAGCCATGTCTGCATCTAGTTTGCCGCTGTGGAAGAGGTCTCCCTGGTTGAGCTGGGATCTCAGGGTGCTGCCTTTTATGACATAGATGCTGGAAATGTAGGGAACATTCCAAATCCCACTGCAAAATGGGGAGAGGGAGATTTAGACACCAAGTAGTAACAGGACAGAGTTTACAGGATCAGGCCGCAAAGGACTAAGGGCTAGATTTAATTGTGAAGGTATTTAGGGGGGAAAAAACAACAACAACAAAGCATTGCTGTTCTTTGGAATTTGGTTTGTCACAAAGTTTAAAGGGTCAGACTCAAAACCCCATAGCAACTAAACACAAGGACCTACACAAACCCAAAGAGGAGCAAATCAGGAATGCAAGCCATTCCAGTAATCAGCCTTTGGACATCTACAGCACGTTCCATCCAAGCAGCACACAGCCCTTTACAAACACTATTTAAAGAAGAATGACAACCCCTCCTCCCCACCCACTGTGGGACAGTTCAGCATCACATTCTCTATCCTTAGCAGATGGAGAAAACAAGGCACCAGGAGAGATTAAGCGATTTGGCCATCCAGTGAATTAGCAACAGGGCTGGGAACAAATCCCAGGGCTCCTGACTCCAAGTTCCCTACTCTGGTCACCAGACCTTACTCCCGCTATTGCATATGGTATGTAGAGGACAGATACGTAAAACAGCTCCTGCCTGGAAGGAGAGACTTCCCTTCCTTCTTTAACCACGGTGATGGTCTGCTACTCTTGCCCCAGGATCCCAATTGGCTTTAGACTGATTTCGGGGGTACATGCTCTCTAGCCACTGTCTATTCAGCAAGCCTTGTATTTAGGGGATTCTGACTGGCAAAAGTCCCTCGCAATACTCACACCCTCCGCCCTTGAACAATATCCACGTAATCCTCCGAACGGGCATAGTACCCATCAGGACTCAGCGCACCCCAGAAATTCGACCACAGCTTTCCGAGACGGCTCACCAATAGGGCAATTACCGGCCTGCAGGCACAAGAGGGAGAGATGATTGGAGGGCAGGACGCTGCCAGGGGAGGAAAGGGGGAAGATCCCAACGAGAGTCTCCGGGTCCCGTTTTGCCTTCGCTGACACAGATGCTATCCCCTCTTGACACCTGTGTAAGTAAGGGCAAACTGGGGCCCTAAGCTTATATCTAAACACATTCAGCAGTCAGTCCCCTCTGAATGGGATCTAAGGAGTTCTAGCAGCTGGAGACAGAGCTGGAAATCTTTCTTCTTGAGGAGCAAGAATCATTTCAGTAACATGACTTAGGTTTCTCTGATGTGTATCCAGCTCCCTTAGACTGAAGCCCCAGCTAAATCTCTGAGTCAGATACAGACATAACCAGGAACAGGTTCTGTTCTCTATGAAGCCCCAGTGTTTGGAGGTTTTTGATGGGCCTGAAAAACTCCCTCAGTTGCTCAGCTGTTGAAAGTCGGTGTAGCATCACTGAAATCAATTTACACCAGTCAAGGATCTGGCTTCTTGGATCCAACACTCATGATCTTTAGGGATGGGGAAGAAAGAACTTGGACTCTGAACCTGGATATAGATCCAGATTTTCCAGTGAATCCCTCCCCTTATAATGGGCTGAAGCAAAACCTGCATCTGAATGTACCGCCTGGGATGTTTGAAACGTAAATCCAAATCCAGACCTCAACCCTGTGGCTTGGACCCACTTCTGGTTTGGAAAAAAAATGGTGCTGATTCTGACCTCTCTGTTCCCAACAATGTAGGCTCTGCTCCAAAGAGATAAGGGTAAAACTAGGGATGGTTTACATCCAGGGCCCACTGCATCTGAATCCAATAATCCAGGGAGGGGAGTTGGATAAATGGCTCCAGTTTGGGTCCATCTCTACTGGAGAAAACCCTTAAGTTTCATTCCCAGCAATGCTCTCTCTTCTCAGCCTCTTACACATTTCCCAGGAAAGAAGGAGCTCCCTATCTACGTTCCTGACCTGAAACCTGCCCAGTAAGGATCGCTCAGACTCACTTGTTCTGTTCAATCAGGATCCGTAGAACCTTTGAGTTCTTCAGAACCACTTCGGCATCCAGGCTGAAGTAATATTCACAGTCAGGATTCTGTCTGCACAAATCCCTACAGCCAGAGAGCCCACAGGTCAGAGAGAGAACAGTGACAGGACAGCAGAGATGACCTTCACTTTGCGGTCAAGGGGGCCCTCTCTTCTGGGATGGGGATGTTTATCCTTTACAGTCTGGGTGCAGAGCCCCTGACTAGGGTTGGGGGGAAGAGAGGGTTAAAACCCCATGCCTGAGTAAAGGAGTAGCAGGTGGCTGGCCCCTCATGGCAGGGAGGAGTGGGGCTGAGCTCAGGGGAGGATGTTTTCTCCATCAGGAAGGTGGACGAGGAGGGAATGGGTACGGGGAACCATTGCTTTGGAAGTTGAACTGAAAGGGGAACAGGCTGCACCTGAGGCTAGAGAAACTCAAAGTCCCCTGGATGCAGGAGCCTTACTGCTTCCGTTTGTTTGGCCGCAGGCAGTGGACGGCTGTACACTTAGCCTGGGAATCTAGCCTGGCTTTAGCCCGTGTCGGCCAGACAATAAGCTTGGGCTAAGTTCGTGCCTGCCCTGGACAGGTTGCAGGAAGATGGGGAACGTGGCTGCAACCTGGACAGAGGTTGTTCTTAGCAGAGGGTTTGAGAACCCCTTTGGCAATGAGGGCATCCAAGTGTGTTTGTAATGCTGTCACCCCAGAGACATTGCATCTAATGGGAATGCATGAGGGCATATGGAAGGAAAGGAAAGGAACGGGGGAATGGTTTGGGGTGTTACACAATATACCACGGCTGCACCAGCCATTGGTCCTGCAAAGCTCCAAGGCAGACATCTATGGAGGAAGCTTCTGCTGCTCTGCCCACAGAGGCCTGTTATCTTGGATGCAAGAAGCCTCTCCCTCGTGCTACTGAGCCCAGACAGAGGGTGGGGTGGACTCCAGTATCCCTATCGTCTGGCTTTTCGCACCGGCCTTTTCACTTACACGCCCATGTTCCGAGCATCAGCATTCTCCACGTGATCTTCCGGCCCAATCACTTTGACCGCGTGATATTCTTTGCCATGCTCCTTCACAAACGTGTCCACCCGAGACAGGTGATGTTGCTCCTGCACACAGAGGGAAATGACACAGAGCGAAGAGTAGGTTACACGAGCTTAACACAGGCTGTCTGGCCTCAGCTAAAGCTAGGCTTGCTGGCTGCCCAGCTCTCAAAGCTCTGGCGACACCAGAGCACGTGAGCTGCATGTACCCTCACCTCCATGTCTTCGTGGCTGGAGGTAATTGATGCACAGGCTTCTAGGAAAACAAAACATGAGTTTGTACCTGTCTTCCAGGTCCTGGCAGTCTGGGGAAGTTGCAAAGACTTCTGGGATATGGGAGGATATGACAGAACAAGGAGTAATGGTCTCAAGTTGCAGTGGGAGAGGTTTAGGTTGGATATTAGGAAAAACTTTTTCACTAGGAGGGTGGTGAAGCACTGGAATGGGTTACCTGAGCGGGAGGGGTGGAATCTCCTTCCTTAGAGGTTTTTAAGGTCAGGCTTGACAAAGCCCCAGCTGGCATGATTTAGTTGGGGATTGGGCCTGCTTTGAGCAGGGGGTTGGACTAGATGACCTCCTGAGGTCCCTTCCAACCCTGATATTCTATGATTCTAGGAGGCAAGCCATCCCTCACATGGCAAAACAAAGGGACAAGGTTGGTGCGGTAGTATCTGTTATTGTTGGCCCAATAAAAGATATGACCTCATCCACCTTGTCTCTCTAGCATCGTGGAACGAACACGGCTACAAAAACACTGCATAAGATAATCCAAGGCAGATGTTCCTTACATGGTTGTGGATGAAGAGCTGAGTGCGGTTCTTTGGGTACTGGAGGTTCTGAAGCCTCAGGAAGAACTGGGAGAGAAATGGAGTGGGCTGCTCGATGAAAATTCCAATCAGAACCAACGGCAACACATCATCCTGCATTCGACAAGAGGGTGAGAAGCATGAGGGCTGCTCTGCAGCTCCAGAAACCTGGCTACCCCCTCACCATCTCCAAGGTAACCCAAAAACACAATGTATTCTCTGGTTAGCATTAGGCCTCTGCCACTCTAAATATGCATCAACCCTTACCTTGAACCCTGTGAGACTTCTCAGGCCTTCATCACACACAGTGCAGCCTGTCTCGAATGTCCAGGCCCGAGGAATATAGTTTCCCAGGTAGTTCAGCTGCAGCTGCAAAGAGAAATCCCCCAAGTGCTTAATTACAAGGCAGGAGAAAATCTTAATCAGGTTCCATCACCAGCCTCATCTTCCTTCTCTCCCTGGGAGAAGGGGAATGGAATAGGATGCAAATCTGCGGCTCTAATTTCCTACGGTGGAGGATACTGATGTGCTGGGATAATGCGAAGGGGTGAGAGCACTTTTCAGTCTCCATGGCCCGGTCAGTCCTTGGCGTCTAGGTGCAGAGACTGGCAAGAAGGGGACCAAGGGTGGCAATTATTGTGATGTGAATACCTGTCCACCAGCTCATTGCACATGTAACCCGACAGACCACAGTCATCGGGATCGAACCTGGGATCTTTGAAGCTTAGTGCATAAGCCTCTACGACATGAGCTAAAAGCCAATTGGCTGTTAGCTAAGGCTATACAGCAAAGTCATTAATCTCTCTCTCTCTAAGTGGTCTCGGTGCCACTAGGTAGGACAGAACACCACACCCAGAAGGTGTGTGGGTTACACACGCTGGCCAGTCATTCCTCAAGTGGGGACGCTTTCAGTCACTGCTGATCTTGGTCTTGATTTGACCCAGTGACCAAGAAGTAAAGAGCTCTGCATCTTGCTGTCATAGCAGGGGGCCATTCAATCCCCCCATCTGTGAATTTATGCGGGAAAAAGTCAGCGCGTGAGGGATGGATGCCTGATTTCCCAGCATTCCTTGGGCAAGTGCTTCACCACCTCAAGCCTAAAGAAGTTATTTGCCTTGGTTTCATACCCAACCTTCTCTTTCAAGGCTCCTGCTTACCTTGGTGGGTCCATTGCCGTGGATCAGGACTGGGAGGGTGTCGTACTCTACGTTTCTTGCTCTCACGCGTGCATTTTCAAACTTCAGAACCACCTCATCTAGAAATCACATCACAGCAATGTTATCTGCAGGAGGCTTTAGGAGCAATTTGGCCACACAATGCCCTAGCCATCCCACACAAGCAATCCCTGGGAAGCCGGGAGAGTGGGGCTGGATAACCATCTATCATATTTGTGGGGCACAGACAATCCACGGAGGGAGAGGAATTGTTTAGGGTGGCCCAAAGGGGTAGAATTAGGAGTGATGAGATGGAACTTGAGAAAGGACAGGATCAGGGAAGGCTTTGAAGAGTGAAATCTATTAAGCCAGGGGTGGGCAAACTACGGCCCGTGAGCCGTTTTAAGCTAACCCGCGAGTTCCCGCTGGGGAGCTGGGTCGGGGGCCGCACCACACAGCTCCCGGAAGCTGCCATGGCTCCGCTCCGAGGGTCAGGGGACCGCTCCACGCCTAGGAGCCGGAGAAGGGACATGCCACTGCTTCCGGGAGCCGCTTGAGGTAAGCGCCACTCGGAGCCTGCACCCCTGAGCCTCTCCCCATGCTCCAACCCCCTGCCCCAGTCCTGATCTCCCTCCCGCTCTCCAAACCCCTCGATCCCAGCACGGCGCACCCTCCTGCATCCCAAACCTCTCAGCCCCACCCCAGAGCTCACACCCCCAGCTGGAACCTGCACCCCTTCCTGCACCCCTGCCCCAATTTTGTGAGCATTCATGACCCGCCGTACTATTTCTATTCCCCAATGTGGCCCTTGGGCCAAAAAGTTTGCCCACCCCTGTATTAAGCTGTAGGGCAGTCTCCCATGGGGAACTGGTAAAGCCTCACTGATTGCATCCTTTAAATCAAGACTAGGCAAAGAATATGTGGTGAGGAACAATTCTGCACTAGCAAGGGGGTGGGGAGAATCCAGACAAAAGCAGCTTTTCCACCTCTGAATTCTGTGCTCCTCTATGTCTGTCTGGCACATCCCCAGATGGCATTATACAGTGACTGCAGAGTGACTAGCCAAGGGGTCTGTGTAACTCAGCTATCAAAAAGGGCTAAAGTTCAGGCACAAAGTCCAATCACTCACAGTAACAAGGACCCTCACTCCTACACCGCCCCCTGGTGGCCCAGTGCAGTGTCACCATCGCGTCTCTGCCTCACTTTCCCCAAATGAGGGTTTTAATAAGTTCACTGACGCTTGTATCTTGAATAGTGCCTCTTCAGGGGTCTAGCTTGTTCAACCCCAAAGGCGGAACATCACACAAAAATGCCTCCCCCTCAGGGTCTCTAGTGGGAGGAAGGAGGGCCTGAGTCAACCTTAGTCTGTCAACTCTCGTGATGTCCAAGGCCCCTTACTGGTGAGGCCTTCGTGACCTGGAACCCTCTTCTGGAGTCAGGGGCCTCCTGTCTCTAGCAGCAGAAGGGTCCCTTTTCCTGGGTCAAGGTCTCCCCACAGAGGCCAAACCACAAAACCTCTTCCTCACGACATCATATAATTCCTCTCATCTAGGGTTCCTGCTGTTGCCTGGTGGAATCTTTCATGGGAGCCAGGCTTCTCTGAGACTTAGCATTCACAGGCCCTTCCTTCTGGCCACTCTCCCACTCAGGAGCATTCTCTCCGGGTTTCCTTTGCTGGTGAGCCCCTCTCACCAGGTTCCCCCCAGGAAACCTTCTATGTAGACATTTTCTATTCCTGCAGTCTGGGAACTCTTCCCCTCCCTCAGGGCCCTGTTCATCCAGCCCTGTCCTGCTGGGAGCAGCGTCCTTTTATCTCACTGAGGTGCTTCCCTGTCTAATTGATTGCCTCTCAGTAACTCAATGAGTGACCTAGTCCCAGGTGAACCTGAGCTGCCTCACTCAGCCATCAGAGATAGGCTGGGCTCCTGACCCCTCCACAGGGCCAGCTACTCTCTGGCTCCCACCCTTACCAAGATAAGAATGGGACCCCAAAGTCCCCCCCAAATGATAACTGCCTAGCTAATTAAAATAAGGAGAAGGGGAGAAGAGATAAACTAAAATAAATACCTATATTTCTCCGCTCCGGGAGAACAAGTGGATAAAACTTTCCAAGGGTGGAATAACTGACTGGCCAAAAGCATGGTACAGGTGAGTGAGTGCTCGCACACGGCCCCTGAATGCATCTCATCAGCTCCCCACCTCTCAGGCCATTCAATCCAATGTACTGAACCAAGAAGGCAGGCAGGTGGCCCTTGCCCTGGGCTGTGTGTTGCTAGCTCCCTACCAGTTTCACTCCCCAAAGCTAGTGTACTTTGACATGTGTGGGGATCAAAGTGGAGAGGAGGTGTGGTACAGAAAACCCGACCTAAAGGCCTAAATGTGGAGCTGGCATTGCAATGAGAACCAGGCTGGGGATTGCAAATCGATTCCAGGAGTCTGGGCAGAGGTTTTTAAACAGAAACCTGCTCTGGGGATGGATTCTGGCCTTCAACCACGTCAGCCTCAGTGGGACTGTTTCTAGCTGCTCTGCACTCTGCAAGGAGGAATAAGCTCTCTCTCCCCATCCCCTCCATCTCACCTAATGCTCCATTCAGGTTCTGGAAGATCCGGCATCTCTGATCCAAAGTGATGTTGATATTTTCCTTTAAAAGAATGAAATAAAGAACCTCATTTAGAACACACCGAGGCATACGCTCTGCAAACAGATGGGTCATGCCAGCCCTCCCACTGCCCCTCTATTCATTGCAGAAAACACTATGAAACCAGCCTCCCTTGTTTCTCAAACCCTCCATGGATTTGATTCAACCTCCCTCACGGATCTAGGCCCAGGTCCTTAGCTGCTGTAAATCAGTTTAACACCATTAACTTCAACACCCTAGGAGCCCTGAACCTGCTCCCTGGTCCCTCCACTCATCACCACAGGTTTCATCTCTGCCCCTTCACCCAGTCTCACCACTGCCAATGCAAGAACCTGCTCCGCTCTATCTTCTGATCTCTAGACTAGCCTCCTCCACCTGCAGCAGATGCTCCGTCTCTTTTCAGATCTCCTATGAAAATAACAACTCTCCTTGCCTATGTTTCTTCATGCTTCCCACCCTGGGCTATTGTTGATCTATGTCACTCATTTTAAAATACAGTTTGTGTGAAAGACCATGTGCTCAATGAAGATGTATTGTATCATTCTGATCACTAGCATGTTCCACAGGCTCCAAAACCTTAAATAATCCCAGTGATCCCCCGTCCCACCTGAACTTTAGCAGTTCTCCCTTTGCTGAAACACCACCACCACCACCTAGCTCTTACATGGCGCTGTTCAGTGTTAGATCTCAAAGCGCTCTCCAGAGGAGGTCAGTTTCACTATCCCCATTTTACAGAATACGGTTTTTATATTGCACTAGGCAAAACCAGATAACACGAACTGCTTATAGCTTCCCAGGGCATGAAAAGACGACAAATAACAGCACACGGATGGAAATATGCCGGCCTGCCTGTACAACAGCATATGAACCACGTGTCATGAACCACAGCCAGGAGCGCAGGTTTGGCAAACATTTCTTTTGTGGTCAGTCTCCGGCTTCTATCTATCTTCCAGTGACAGGGTTGTGCTTGTCTCAAGTGCTGCTCATGTTAGCAGTGTTAAACCACAACTTAGCAATGGTTTAAGACTGGGTGGCAGATGTTGTATTTATACCAGGCGGCTTCAAACCATGGTACATTGGATTTCATCAGAATCCCACTCAAACCTAGGTCTGACTTAACAGTTCACTGCCCCTCCAAGCATCACCTAAGATACATTAGAATAACTCTCAGAGGGGGAGAATGGATGTAACAGTATCTGGATTTTGAAAGCCCTGTCAATAGAACTATTCAACTCTGGTCTGGCTTTGCGCCAGAACTTTAGCTGAGATCATTAAAGAGAAACTATCATGGTAAAAGTTATGGGCCGGATTCAGACCTGGGGATAAGTACGTGCAACTTTACTGGCTTCTCCCGGCTTTTTGCAAATAGCGGACTTCGCTTTCGCTTTTCTTTATCGTCACAAGTTTCACTTCCTGGTTCCTATGCTCTTGCATAGGAATATTTTGTTTGCAAATATTTGGGTCACAAACACTCTAGGAGAATGTTTCCTTGTTCAAAGATAATGTGAATGTGATGACGCCATTGCCATTGGTATTAAGTGACATGAAACCTTGTTTTAAAAACTCCTGCCATCTGGGTCAAATCTGACCGGGCAGTGACCCTTTCAAGACAAAAATTGCAAGGACGGTACAGTGGGGGGGGAGGGGGGGTGCAAGGGGGCACATCTGCCTGAACAAAATGGGTCACTGTACACATAAGTGAACATTTACATGTGCCAGTGCCAGTGTAATCCTTATTGGGGCAAGAAAGAGAAACCTAGGGAGACATCCTAAGAAGAAGGGGAAAAAACAGGAAAATACTGCTGGGATGATAGGCTCCTAAGTGGTCAACCTCTTTTACGGCCAGCTGGGACGCCGCACGGGGGCTGGGGGATGCCACACCAGTAAGTCTGGAAATGAAAAACACACTGCATGCCCCAGAAAAGGGTTCTGGCTACTGGCCAGATGCGGCACCCAATCCCTCCTAAACTGCATCGCCTACTCACACGTACCCTTTTTCCCGGATCCAAGAAGATATTGGTGTAAAAGAGCTGGTCGCTATCATTGTCAAGTCCTTTCCAATCCTCCACAAGCTTGTTTAGGTTAGGAGCGTAACCTATGAAACCTGTGGGAACAAGGCAAAGGGGGAAGAGAGCCAGCTTCTCAATCCAGCCACCCTGGAAGGGAACATTCTCAGGGACTCAGACATGTGGACAATGTCTCAGTCCCTTCTCCAAGGGGACATATACACTGTCTCAGTGCCCCCCTGCAACACAGCACAGATACACAGTTTCAATCTCTCTGCAAAAGCCTGCGTGCATACTCACTCTCCCCTGCCATGGGTCATCAGTGGGGATAGAACCCTTAATCTTCAACACCCAAAGCACAGGCTGCTGTAACCTGAGCTAAAGGAGTATCCCCCTAGCTAAGAGTAAGTTGCAGGTTCTTATCATAGAATATCAGGGTTGGACAGGACCTCAGGAGGTTATCTAGTCCAACTCCCTGCTCAAAGCAGGACCAATCCCCAGCTAAATCATCCCAGCCAGGGCTTTGTCAAGCCTGACCTTAAAAACCTCCAAGGAAGGAGATTCCACCACCTCCCTAGGTAACCCATTCCAGTGCTTCACCACCCTCCTAGTGAAAAAGGTTTTCCTAATGTCCAACCTAAACCTCCCCCACTGCAACTTGAGACCATTACTCCTTGTTCTGTTAGGATCTTGAGGATACTCCTTATCCTCTAAATGGGCTGCAGTCAGTGGCGGGAGACCATAGCTTATGTGCTATGCATGTGTACACATACGGTGTCAATTCCCCTCTAATTGCACAGCACTTTTCTGCCGCCCCCACCGCTCCATCTTCTCCAAGAGCCCTGTCTCCCAGAAACACAAAGCTGGGAGACGCTGACCTGTCTCTTACCTCCAGAACCCAGGAAACGCTTGCCATCTTGCACCGGAGGGTACTTGGCTTCCAGCCTCCGGTCAGGGTAGATAAAGGTCTCTGCTGAGAAAACCACCTTGCTCTTGGCCTGTTTGAACTTCTTCAGCAGTTCTGCAGGGCCCGATGCAAAAAGCACATCATAGCTACAGGAGCAGCAGAGCACGGCAGAAAAGAGAACAGAACAGGTCAGGAAGAAAAGAGTGTGAGAAACAGAAGATTCTCTAGGAATCCGTTTCTTTTAACCCTGCGCTACGGCATTACAATCCCTGCAGTCATTACAGGCATCAGTATGGTCCAATAATAGCCCGATGGAATCCCAACACCGGAGGTTTTAAGACCACGTTGGATAAACCCTGGTCAGGGGTGGTCTAGGTTTACTTTGCCCTGCCTCAGTGCAGGGGGCTGGCCTCGATGACTTCTCAAGGTCCCTTCCCGTCCTATTTTTCTATGGTTCTGTGAATACTCGTCGAGCGGGATATGGTACTAGTTCCAAACTAACCTCCTGTGGGTGAATAACATGCTGAGCTTGCAGGTGGATTGTTCCTTACATCCCGTAACACCCAGGGGATTTGCCTCTACAGAGCTTTCCCTCCACATCCTCGGAGCCTGGGGCAGACGCTGGTATCCCAGACCTGTCCATTGTGGGTGCTGGGACGCCAACTCTGGCATCTGTCAGCCCACTCTTTTATTTCTCTTCACCGCAGACTAGTTCCTAGCCCCCAAGCTGCTGCTCGCCTGGCTCTCTGCCTCTCCTCGCCAAGCAGACAATTCCACTGGGAAAGACCAGGCCAGAATGGCAGACTAGCTCACTGATCCCTTGGAGGCCAAATTCAGTCTGACGTAAGCAGGGGTAACTCTATCATCCTTACACAAGAGTTGGATTTGGTCCACTGCAGTCAGAGCTTCCCAGCTGGCACTGATACATTTAACATTTGCAGTCAGCTTGGTGCAGGGAATCCCAGCAGGCAGGAATTCATCTTCCCCAACCAACCTCCTTCAGCGTTAATCACCCCCTGTTAAGAACCTGCCTCTCGGCTCAACTCATGGCAAATCCCTTCGGCCCCATTTACCTTTCTGTGACGAGGATGATCAAGTCCTCCTTATCCGCATACTCCTTCAAAGCTGACTTCAAGAGACGAACCTTCTGCCCACCTCCTGCTGCCGCCTTGTCCTCACCACGCCACTCCTCATCCAGCCCCAGCACCTAAAGGGGGACAGGGTATCTTTTAACAAAGGGTTCACGCTACACAGGCAACAGCTTATTTCCCCAGCATGAGTCACTGTAAGAAATGGGGTAGGAGGACCAGCTGCCAGAGAAACTCACAGCTACTTCACTGCTGGCCTCCGGTTAGACTTTTGGCAAGGAGTAATGGTGCAGGGGCGCTGGCTGAGGAGCAACTCAGTTACACCCGTCCTGACCTTTCCCAGTGCAACTCACTGTGGGCAAGGGTGTAAGGACACTTGCTCTGGTGGACACGCAGCTACTGCTGTGCCATCCTCTGCCACTGAGCGTCACCAGGAGAAATGGTGCAGGAGAGCTGGCGGCGACGAGCTTTCACGGGGGTCTCTCTGGAGGGAATGATCAGGGACAGGGGCTGGCTCGCCGTAGCGGTTTTTGAGTCACTGCGGCGGGATGCTACGCCACCATGAAAGCTTTCTGATGGAAACGTTGTGTTGGGGCGGGTCCCTTTGGAGCAGCTCCCGAGGATCTCCCCTCAGCCCACCTATGGGAATGAGGAAGGGAAGCCTGGTGTACAGCAGCTCACCGTCCCAGCCTCTGTCAGCCAGAGCTGTCCCCGGGAATGCCCTCCCTGGGTGAGTTGTCTATGATCCCTGAGAGGACATGCCCCCGGCCTCCTCCCTCTCAGGATAACCATCTCAGAGTTCCCCTTTCACTGTGCACCAGAGGCTGCAGGGCTTCACCTGGACTTTGTAGTTGAAGAACTGGGCTGATCTTTTGAAGCGTTTGAATCCCTCCGTCTCCTGGGTGGCCACAGTAAGAACCAGCAGGTTTTCTGTCGGCAGGAGAAAGCACAAGGTAAAGAGAGACGTTCGGCCCTTATCTGTTTCACAGTTTAACAATCCCCCTTCAAACAGAAGCTTTGCTATTAGAAACAGGGTCAAGGTGGGGACTGACAGCCTGAAGGCCCCAACTGACTTCATGAAGGTAGGTAGTGTGGGGAAAGTTGAGGCACAGAGGGGACGTCCACACTGCAGCTGGGAGCGAGCCTCTCGCCCAGGTAGACAGACTCGCTCTAGCCGGACTCGAGCTAAAAAAATAGCAGTGTGGATGCTGAGACTCGGGCTCTGACCCCCTAGGCTTGAGAGCCCAAGCGGCTACGTCCACACTGCTTGTTTTAGCAGTTTACCCCAG